AACAATTTTTTCTTCATCATTAGTCTACAAACTGCTTCAGATTAAAAAATATATATATATATATATATATATATATATATATATGAATTGGATCATGATTACGATTCCAATGTAATAAATTATAACCATGGAATATTTTGTTTGAGCATTTTTCCATTATATATATATATATATATATATATATATATATATATATATATATATATATATATATATAAGATATATAATATAATATATATATAAGATATATAATATAATATAATATATATATAAGATATATAATATGATATATATATAAGATATATAATATGATATATATATAAGATATATAATATGATATATATATAATATAATTTTTCTTTTAAATTATTAGCTCTGAATTTACATTGAGCTCTCAGGATTTCATTCTCCTTGGGACTACCCATACGGATTACCAAGTTTTTCATAACTTATATATATATATAAAATCTTCAGATTATATATACAAATATATAATGTAAGAAAATGTGCTCAGTGTTAAATAACAGAGCTATTTAATATATTAAAAATTATACATAATATCCTACATTTAAATCACAACACAATTTCATGCTGTTTGCAATTTTCAGATGACTGAAGATTGCAAATAGCATGAAACTCCAAGTTGTGCATTCAATGCAGGGTATTATGATAATTTTTAATCTCTCTCTCTTATATCACACATAAAGTGCTGCTGTTAATAAAATAGTGCTCAATGTAATATAACAGAGCTATATTAATAAATATACATATTATCCCTCCCTATATATATATATATATATATATATATATAATGTTTGAAACACTCACCTTATGCAATCAAAGTTTCTCCCAAGATGTAAGTACTGTTTCTACCATGTTTTCTACCAAGCAGTAAGTACTACCTAACAAAACTGTCTTTGAAGAAACTGTGTTGGCATAATGTCAGTGTTTCGAATATTTTATATCTTAATTTTCCCTACATTTTCATTTAATAAAAACTGTATTGAGCACTCTTTTCATGTATCCCTTCTTTTTTGGAAAAATTGAATTTTATATATAACTTTTCCGTCTCCCAAGCTGTTCTATCAAATTCCAATATCTACAACCAGTTTTGAGTTGAATAAACAATTTTACTGATCTTTGGCCTACAATAACAAAAGCTAGGAAGTTGTGGAGAGCTATTATCGCTCACATTCTGAGACTGACATTACTGAAATGTGCATAGCCATGAAGTTTTCAACTGAAGCATGAATATCAACTAACTTTTCTGGTGTATGAATTTGCTTGTGGATGTGCAGGTGGTGCATTGGATTTGATGACAAATCAACAAGCTGGGTTCAAATTCCAGTCAGGTTTGTCACATTCATTTACATGCAAACGCCTTGGGAAAGATAAGAATTCATCTCCTCCTCCAGATATAGGTTAAATAGTAAAACTTATCTGGAAGAATCATTGTTATATGCTTTTATAATCAGATCAGCATGCTCATCTTGGGTGTTATACTCTCAATGTTTCAACTGTTGTACCATCAGCCCTTCTTCAGAATATATGACCAAAAACTGCATGTATGCCATATGATGCAGTTGTTGCAAGGAATACAAAAAGCAAGAACTCCAGCCACCCTATAAAAGTAAGAGTGGGGAGACATTGAAAGGCTGTAGTCCAGAGAAAGATAATAAAATCAAGCATGGCTGATCATGTATGGAGAAAATAGAGTGGTCATCAGCCAATGTGGAACATTAAGGAAATGTCATTATCAATTTAAATTTAACGATATATGTCACAAAGAATCGTTTCCATTAAAATAAATAAGTCAAAATTGATTATAATAAAATAATTATAACAATTATAATTCTCATTAATTCACTGATTCTAAATCAATGAGAATCAACCCCACTCAACATTCTCACTATTGGACAACAGTCAACACAGACAAGCCATCAACACATGCACCAGTGAAAATTGTGGCTCCTCATCCCTTTTCATGATTCATTTTCTATGACTTATCAACCCATAATGGTTTAGTGATACATCTTACTAATTAATCCATAGCTGAGGGAGAGAAGAGATGGATTCATACCTAATCAGAAATTGATAAACAAAAAATTATAATGCGGATATAAAATGGGGAATCAAGTCTATATTACAACCACTAAAGTGATCCCTCACTTTGTGTCCACGGTAGTTTCTATACATTAATATGCCAGAGAATGTAAAATAAATCTAAAAGACCTATCTATGTAGCTAATCAGTATTTGATGGATTCATTCATTTTTTATGGCTTATCAACCTCTTGTAGGTTATTTAAAGCCAGAAAATAGTTTTTGCTTTCAAGAATTTTGGGGAGGGGAGATGATAATGATTTAGTGGTACAAGTCTTATTAATTAACACATAGCTGGGCGAGAAGGGGTGGATTCATACCTAATCAGAATTTGATAAACACCAAGAAATTATAATGTGGATATTAAATGGGGGGTCAATTCTATATTGCAATCAACATATAAACTGATCCCTCACTATGCGCCCATATTAAGTACTAGACATTTATATTTCAGAGAATGTAAATAAATCTAAAAGATATCCCTGTGTAGCTAATCAGTATTTCATTGAGTGATTCGTTTTCTATAGCTTATCAACCCTTTTTAGGTTATTTAAAGCCAGAAAATAATTTTAGATAGTGAAAATGTTTTTGTTTTTTAGATTGTAGGTTTTTTTTTTTTTTTTGAGATAATGATTTAGAGGATACAAGTCTTAGTAATTAACCCATATCTGGGGGAGAATAGGTGGATTTATGCCTCTAGAACAGAGTCAGCTGATCTTAAAATTGATTGACTGTCATGGTAGGCATGATGAAGCTCAACACTGATACAGAAAATTATGGAAGGGGTGCAGTACAAATTTAATAAGCTTTTGGAAATTTGAAGAAAATACTGGTCAGGAAAATATTTCCCCACGCGTTACAACATTTTATACCAATTTTTAAGTAGTCTGCAGTCCGTAATATGATCGGTCAGTTTTTAGTTACAATGGCATTGACAAGATTGCACTATGTGTGTGGCAAGATAAAATTCCTTGTGAGTAGGATTTTACAAGTAAGTAGCAATTGTGTGGCACTTTTGGATCAATTAACAGGCAATTTTTCTTTGTAAAGTGCAAAATAAAAAAGCAGTTTTTCTTTAAGCAAATGTTCATCCAATACAAGGCCCCAGAGCCACTCAAGGTAGAGGGCTACTGAATGAGGTTGCATGGTTGTAAAGGGAGGAATTATGTACAGATTATGAGGATAGGTAGGATGGATAACGAAGACTTAAAGTGGTTGAGATTATGGGGAGTGCAGAAACGTACTTTCAGAAAATCCATTCAAAAAAGAACGTATAAAAATTCTATCAGCCAAATTTGTTTTTGCATTTGTGTGATGCAATAATGAAGCACATAATGAGGTTGTTTGGTCGTGAGGTGGAATTATGCAAATTGGTACCTTGTAATATAATTGGTGGGCTGAAGGCATTGTTGGCCATTATAGACGTTGGAATTGTCAAAAGTTTTTTTATCTTTTTTTTTTCTTTGCCAAGACGTTGATGTTGCTTTATTTCAGTTAAGTGACTAGATTTTTTTTTTTAAAAAAGTACAATAAGAAACTGGTCTGCTCAACTTAAAAATTATACAATCAACAATCTGCCTGGTTCGATAACATTTTGTGAAATAAAAGAATAAAATATCTGTTTTAAAAGTGACAAGTTCATTTTGACGCTTTCAATGCTAACATTTTGAGAAATTGCCCAAAACAAATTTCATTTTAATATTTAAATAGTGAAAATAGTGGATAGTGGCTCAGAATGAAAAACCAGGTAACTGAGTTCAAATCACAGTTGGGTTCATTACATTTAGTCATGGGCAATTTTTCTTAATCGTTTCATCCCAATCAAGGCAATAAAGCCACTAGGACGCAGAGGAGTTACTGAGTGTTAGAGAATATGAGAAAAACTACTATTAAAGAGAGAGGACAATAAAAGAACAAAGATTAAGAAGACAGAAGATAACAATTGACATTGCATTTAAATTTTTGAAGATCAAAGGCAATAAAGCCACTAGGATGCAAAGGGTTACTGAGTGTTAGAGAATATGGAAAAAACTACTATTAAGGAGAGAGGACAATAAAAGAACAAGAATTAAGAAGACAGAAGATAACGATTGACATTGCATTTAAATTTTTGAAGATTAAAGGCAATAAAGCCACTAGGACGCAAGTGGCTTCTAATTTTTTTAATTTTGGGCCTCACCAAGTTTGAATATGTTACTAAATATACTCATGTTTGTGTGTGTGTGTGTGTGCGCGCACTTGCATTTCTTAGGCATTATTTGGTGATGAGGGTTGTCATGCTAGGTGATAAATATCAAATTGGGATATATTTGAAAGTCAAACACACCTACATTTTGAATTGACTTTTTTTCCCACTAATTTTCAAAGTCACTCCCAAACGTCGCAGGTAGTGAAATTCAAAAATTTAGCAATGTTGGTCTTACAAAAATAACCCAATCTTGAAGACATACTTGACAATAGGACAGTCAGTAGAGAGAAATATTTATAATTTACAGTTTCAGAAAGTGGGGCACCAGTTTATTTGTCAGTTATAAAGTAAAAGTGATCCCCTTTAATGTTCAGTTGTTTGTTAATCTCCAAGAGTTCCTTGATTGGGTTATAAGTAACAGATAGAAAAATTGTTAGACAATACAGACCTCCAAGTTTAAAAAGTTGAAGATGTGAGTAATTTGGTGGAAGAATCGTTAGCTTCAAATTTGGGAGGAAAAAAAAAGGATTTTGGCAATTATTCAGTCTTTAAAGATTTTTAAACTTTGGATTTACTTATTTAAAGATGGAGACAATCGAACATCAAATTCGAGCGTTTTCTTTGCAACAGAGAAAACCAATTTGCTTGTGTTTTGGCACAATATGGCTAGATTTGAAGATTGCTTTCGTAAAAATCGATTCACTAAACTTTTACGTATCTGAAGAATCCTGCGACTCTAAAACTCTTGACTTGATGAAATTCCTATCGTCTTTCTCGTTCGAGTGTAGATTAAAAATCTTTCCCTGTCCTTCAGAAGGTGTGCTCGGCCCTGTCGATTCTCCGGTACCAGGTGGTTCCCAGTGACCTGAATCTGATGCCGAATCCAATCCTGAAAAAGATTTTGGTAAGGCAGAACACAACCCTCGTCCCTCTTCGTCAGTTGATGACGAATATTGAGTACTTGAAGTTAAGTGTACAAGAGAATGTGGGGACGATGGCAGTTTAGACCCAAACACTTCTCGTTGTTTGTGATGTGGCTGATGTAAGTGAGAGGAAGGCATTTCGGCACAGGTGTCGGTGTAATCGCCAAAGCTGTGTTCAGAAGTGAGATCAAAATCAGAAGATGTCAACAAATCCAGGGAATCATGTTCTTCAGTACTTTGGTAGTCATCTTGGATTTTATTTTGGCAAAATTTGTTTGTAAGTTCTTGCACTTCCTGCTCATCGGAGATTTCCTTTGAGGATCTGGCCGTCATGGAAGACGTTGAAAAATGGTCGCAGTCCTTCGTATGCATTCCAACCACTTTTAAAACACAGTCTAATTTTTTCATATAATCCAAGTGACCTTTGACCTGCAAGGATAAAATTTACACAAATGAGTATAGTTATTTTAAGAGGAAAAAGTTTTTTTTAAATATTTGGTATTGACACTTAAAATGAAAAAATCTAATGTTGATTCTTAAGTTTCAAAAAAAAAAAAAAACATATATATATATATATACACACACACACACACACTAGCAGTCATACCCCACTAGTTGATCAGAAAAGGCGTTCAATTAAAATAGAGCATAGTCAGCATTATGTTTAGATGTAACAGAGTCTATCTTCAATTACTTTAAAGTACTTTCATTAAAAAAACATTTTGAATTAATGCAGTTACTCATATAAGAGATGTAGTCTGTATTTATTCAATCAGAGTTAGCCAAGGACATGAAAGGATAAAACAGGCAACATGAAAACCCACTTCTGACCACAATTATTTTGGAGTTTTTGAAATTCAATTTGTCAGTTTGCTACCAGGGATCTAAAAGAAGATACATTTATAAAGCAATTGTTAAGTTTAATGAAAATTGGTTGAAAGATCAACGAAAAATAAGAAAGAAACCAGTAAAAAATAAACATTTTTCGCTATTTACATAGGTTTTCCCAATATGGGAGGAGCCAGTTATCAAGTTAAATGACTGTTAAACAATCAACTTTTAGTTTAAAATTGGTGTTGAAATCGATTTTTCGCAGCGGCATAGAAATAAAAATGAGGTATCGTTGAGATAGTCATGAAGTAAGTCACTTTATCAATTATTGATTTTTTTAAAAATTATTGATTTTTATGCTAAGAACCTATCTCTCACATTGTACAATGTATAAGCAAAGTCTGGTCAAAATCAGCTGATGAATCTCAAGTGAAAGGTATCACACTGACAGACACACAGACATCCCCATTTTATATATATATATATATATATATATATATATATATATATGTTTATGAAAAGTGTATATAAATAAATATATATATATATGTATAATTATTTATATATTATATGTATGTATACTTATTATAAATATTTTTAATATCAGAGATAGAGCTAACATATTTGGTTGGATAGATGTGAGTTTGTGACCCTGGTTTTCACGCTTTAGTGATCGTCAGACAAACTGATTAATATTTTAAAAAATTTGGGTTTATGTAGATTGCGTGTATTGGTGTTATTGTGGAAGTGGTGGGGGAAATTTCGTTGTTTTGTCATTCATCGTACTAACGCAAACATCGATGTATGCAGACACATATACATACTTGGTCGTCCGTCGGGACTCATACATATATAAACATATGTGGGAAGTTTCGGATATGACACATGTATGTATTGGGTGGTGTTATGTCTATACATACGCATTTGTATGTTGAAATGTTGAAATTTAAACATTGGAAGTGTAAACGGAAATGTCTGGTAATGTAATGTCGTGAATATATCCATGTCATAAATATGTATATATTATTTTTTTTAAACCAAATATATATATTTAAATAAATTATTTATAAGGTAAAAAAAAAAAATATTTGGTATTTTATTTAGATGAAATATTTGAAAATAAAAAATGTGTATATGATAAAAGGTAGAACAGACCAACTTATTTATCTTTATAAATGTTTCTTTGATAAATTTGTGCTAAAGAAATTTAAAATTATTGCAATATATGGTTGATAAACACCTTTTTAAAAATTAAAAATGTAATGAAAGAAATGGCATGATTTAAAAAAAAAAAAATAATAAAGCAAAATTTAAAAAAATAAAATATCTGAATGGGATTGGATGCAAGTAGATAAAAGATATTTAGGTTATGACTCTTTCAATAAAAAAAAAAAACATTCACTGATTAAGATAACTTAAATGAAATGAAAGAAATGGAATTAAAACTGGACATTACATAAACCAAATGGACTGAAATATCGCATATATATTTAAATTTATCAAATGTAAAATTTTGATTTCATAGGGACATTTCCTGGAACTGGCTCTTCAGATTTTCATCTATTTATCTAAAACTTAGTTCAAAATTATCAAATTCTTTGATAAGAAAAATTTTTATTGGTTAGAGGTAAAGCTTTTGGCTGCTTGTCTTGTCAAAATCCATCTCTGCTATTCATTTAAAATTCATTTTGCAACTCATTCTAATTTTTCCCTCTATCCATAAGGATCCTCTTCCTCCCCATCATGTTTCTTTGGTTGATTTATTCTTTTAAATGTGGTTTGCGGTAGCAACTACATAGGAAGGACTTCCCAAAGTTTAGATTGTAGGATCAGGCAGCATGTCCCATGACAGTTCTTAATCTGGATGCCCATAAGAGCCAGTTGGTTAATACTTCCGGTCAGCAATCACTGAACATTTGATAAATTGCAGGAATTTTTTTGAACTTCAGTCCGAATTGGTTTTACTGTAATGTCCAGTGTAAAACCCTCCATTTCATTTGAGGGCACTTGAGTCTCTGTATATTCAGTCTGGGCCGTTTTTTAAAAGTCAAAGAGACTGTTCCTTGTAAACTAACGTTAATTAGACTCTACTGTTTATCATACATTCCCTCAGAGGATGAAATTATTATGTTTTTTTTTTCCTTTTGCTGTGCATATATTTTGGTTTGAAAAATATGATTTTTTTGTCCCCCCATGCCATTAATTTTTTTTATTTTTTAATGTTTTAATTGTATGTAGGCAAATATTTTGTGAGTCAATATATATTGCAATAATTGTTAAATTGTCAATCAAGTCGACCCTGATGATTTTTTGGGAATTAAACCGTTGGTCTGTTCTGTAAGTGTTATCATCTCTTATTTAAATAATGCTTTTAGAAAAATTTTTGTATCTATTATTAATATATATATATATATATATATATATATATATATATATATATATAATAATAATAGTAAAATATTCACTGTGATTGAGGGATGTTAGTCTGCTATTGGCTAGCAAATCCCTATTGCAGACGCTCACCAGGCACATGTATGTTTGCTCAACACCCAGAGAGACCACTTGTGGTTGATACTGCAACTATGCTGAGCAGACCTTAGTTACTGTTTCTGAGAAAGAGCACGTTAAGTACTGTGAACAACAATTTGAACAAGGCCAGCATGCTCAAGCCCAATGACTTGTGGCTTGGTGCTAGCACATCTATCAACAGCCCACAGGAGTGGCTTGGGTCAACCTGTGGTACAGTTTTCACGCAATTTCCAAAGGTGCTGCATGCTGGGATTGACCTCGATCAAGTCCAATAACATCAGGAAGTCACCTTCCTGACAATATGAACAAAAAAAGATTTGAACCCAGGTCTCATGGTCAAAAAGCAAACATTCTAACCAATGCGCCATAAATATATATAAAATATATATATATATATATATATATATATTTAAAAATATAATAGTAAAGCAGATATTTTCATTTAGTGCTTAATATTAAAAATGTTATGAGATGGACAAAATCCAACAATTATTTCAATATATTTATTGTTTATATGTTATTTTTATAGATTCAAATATTTAAGTAAATGTTGTGTTTATAATATTAACATCATTTACCAGCCTGAATGTCCAAGAAATTGCATAGAAAATATGTGTCCCCCAGCAGGAATGGAACCTGTATTCTACACAGAACACTCATACAGCTTGACGTGCTATACAATTAAGCTACAGAGGAAGCATCTGGATAGCAAAGTCAAATTATTGTGTTAAAGAGAGATCATGGGAAATTTGACCTTGCTTCCTCTGTAGTTAAATGGTGTAGCACATCAACCTATGTGACAGTTCTGTGTAGGAAGGGGTTCGATACTTGTCGTAGGACACATATTTTCTCTGAATCGGCTAGACTATATCCCCAAAACATGTGATAAAAGATTTTTTTTAAATTTAAAATTCTTAGCATCTCATTCCTTCATGCACATATATTAGTTACTAGCAGTAGATCCCGGCATTGCCCAGGGATGTAATAGTAAGAGATAGATCAAGTATCGACCATCATAAAGACGGAAAAATAAAATTGACAAAGATTATTGTTTAAGGTTGACAGACACGCATGTCTTAATTAGTTTTTTTTTTTTTTAACAAATTGGTCAAACCTAAACTCAAACAAAAGCATTGTTTTCAATCGTTATGAGTCTACCGATTGAATAGAATTTTATTATAAACAATTGTGTTGTAAATGGAATTTTTAAAGCATTCTGAATGTAAAAATAAAGAAAAAAGTGTGCAAGACAATAAGAAACACTACCTGTCAAAAGAAAGTGAAGTTTTGTTGTAATCGGTTGAAAAATGTAGGAAATCCGATCCTATATATAAACAAACACAGACACACACTCACAAACAATCTGGGTTTTATAAGTATAACTCGATATGAGTTGTCCCCCTTTCATTTTCGACAGTGATGCCTCTTAATCGTGTTTTCAAATTGATTTTGTGCAAAAACAATTGTGTTTTTCCAATTTTTGACAGTGTCAGAACCACCGCAAGGTAATTTTATGTAGTCCTGTGAAGTTTTGTTGAAATCGGTTGAAAAATGTAGGAAATCCAATCCAATATATAAACGAAACAGACACACACACACACACACACAATCTGTGTTTTATAATAAGTATGATGTGCCATGTGTGATACAAGCTTAGGCGATCATGTATCTTTTGATACATGACTGATGAGGCAGTTTCTTTTCAAGCAGTAGGTTGTCATTTCTTTCTGCAGTAGACCAGTTACCATCCAAAAACCTGGTCTGTCCTGCTATTTACCCATAGCTGGGAGGAGCAGAAGAGGATACCTTCCCCAAGGGTATTAGCATGTCAGTGAAATTAATGGATTTGAATAGAATTTGAACTTGGCGCTCTGATTCCTCAATCTGAGTCACTATCCATTACTCTCCTGTGCCTCCCTCCAAAACTCCACCGTGACTCCCTCCATTACTATCCACCGGTGACTCCCTCCATTACTATCCACCGGTGACTCCCTCCATTACTATCCACCGGTGACTCCCTCCATTACTCCACCATGTTGCTTTCCCATATGCATTAAATTAGTCCAATAAATGTCATAAAGGATAAAACAGGTTACACAAAAACTTTCCCACTTTGTCATAATTCTTTCCCTTTAAAAAAAAAATATTTAAAAGGGGTGATGGGTAAATTGTTGCCATTTTATATTGTTAATTTTACACATGTATGTTGTTTGTTTTTTATTTTGTCTACTGCAGTGTATAATAGGTTTAGTTTATTTTGTCTACTGCAGTGTATAATAGGTTTAGTTTATTTTGTCTACTGCAGTGTATAATAGGTTTAGTTTATTTTGTCTACTGCAGTGTATAATAGGTTTAGTTTATTTTGTCTACTGCAGTGTATAATAGGTTTAGTTTTTAGGAAAAAAGAGCACAATGACACAATTCATTTTGCCAGAAATTTGGAAATGGCATGCAATACAGCTTGGCATTCACTCTGGGACCTCCAATACAAACATTTCAGAGTGTTTTGGTATCAATCTGAGGACAATACAGAGGATTCGGAAAGAGTTGGATGAGTCTTACAAAGGTACAACAGATCAGAAAACTCACTTTGATAAGAAAAGACCTTCTGAATTTGTTGGTGAGGTTCTCTGACTCGATATGGAGCCCTACATCAACTGCCTTGAGAAGTTAGTGCTGCCCTTGTTTAAGAAGGTAGCTGCTGGAAGACCTTATGTCTGGCAACAGGACTCTGCACCATGTCACACAAGCAGAAGACCCCAGTCATGGCTGTCAGACAGTTTCTGCGTCCACATCATCCTGACTCTGCAGACTGCAACCCTCTTGAATGTTATGTGTAGAGAGCAGTTGAGAGAGAGAGAGAGAGACCAACAAAACTCCTTGTAACATCAAAGATGAACTGAAGGTAAGGATTATGGCAGCATTCACCAATTTAAACAAAGAGACTGTCCAAAAGAGATTCAGGAGATTCCAAAGTTGTCTGGAGGCTATGGTTAAAGCCAATGGTGATTTTTTTTTAATAAATTTACACTTTAGTATTTCAAGATATTTTTGCGTAATTCTGGTAAATATATCTTTAAAAAAATGAGTTGCCAGCATTATTTTCATTTTTATGCAATTAAGATGACAATTTACCCATTGCTCCTGGTATGTTATATATATATATATATATATATATATATATATATAAAAATATAAATATATGCTACATAAGAGTTCTCATGTTTCAAAACAAGGCAAAAACTTCAATATAATTATTTGAATTAAATTGAATTAAAGTATTAATGTGTTGTTCTTTTCAAGCGAAATCTTTTTGGAATAACTTATTTCTAAAATTTATGTGTTTTATAAATAGAAATAAGTTATTCCAAAATAAAGGAAAGTTTGAAGATGGAACAGATTTTTAGTAATTTAATTCAAATAATTATATTGAAGTTTTTTTTGAATATTTTTTTTTGAAACATGAGATTTCATGTAGCCAACAGTTGGAATCATTTTTTTTTAAATAAATAATTATATTTATGCTCTACTTTTGTGAGCAATTTTTTTTTTTTAAATGATAAGAAAAATACTAAAGAACTTTGGATTATTTACCTAAGAGTTCTTTCCTATTTTCTATATATTTTTTCATATATATATATATATATATATATATATATATATATATATATATATATATATATATATGTATGTATGTTCTTAACTTTAGACAACAATTTTGGATAAAAAAGACAATTGGAAAATCTTTTTTTAGTCCTTAATTTTGCCGACATGTTTCATTGACTTTATCAAGGCAAGTGATGCTAAATAAAACCAAAATGTTGTGTAGTTACATCAAATTCAAAAATTTTTAAAAAGACACTCTTGTGTAAGCCTCTTTCCAGATATTCACAACTTTTTTTTTTTTTTTTTTTTTTTTTACTAGGAATTTTTGTTTTCTTTGTCGACAATATTGTTAAATTTTCCCAGAAGAATCCTGATTTTATCTTATCTTTAGAATTAATCTTATCTTCAGTAAATATTTTTAGTTTGTACAAATTTTTTTTCAATAATAACTTAGTGATACACTTACTAATTAACCCATAGCTGGGAGGAGAAGGGGCTGATTAATACTTTTCTTGAGTGTATTTACATGTAAGTGAATATAACAAATCCAGTTAAGTGATTGTAAGGGAACTGGTGTTTTTAAACATGATGTGGCCATAAGACCTGCATATCCAAGATTACAACACTTGGTATTCCCAAGTCGTCACCGATCTAGGTCCTAACCAGGCTCCAAGTTGCTTAACTTCAGTGATAATACAAGAACTGGTGTTTCAACATGATATCAAGCTGAAACACCTGCACATCCAAGCTTACTGCACCCGTTATTCCCAAGCAGTCACCCATCAAGGTACTGACCAGGCTCAACATTGCTTAACTTCAAGTGATCATACGTGATCTGGTGTTTCAAAAGTTAGTGAGTTCAATCCTTGAACAGGGTAGTGTGTAGTTGGACTTGGTGTAAACAGTGCAAGCAATAAGTGAGCCATACTAAAAATAAGAATTAGACAAAATATCCCTAGCAGAGAAATGAAGACAGTCTGCCCCCCACCCATAGATTAAATAAAAGGGTTCATCTCAGAATTCCCTGTACTTTACCCAGATTGATATACACCTGATGAAGGCTGAAGTGCACAACAATTGAAATGTTGGAATAACAATAACAAAGATGAGGATAATAGTCCCATACTAAATAAAGTTTTAACAGTACCATTAACTCACCAGTCAATGAATATCAAAAGTTTTCTGTGTGGAAATAGTTTTCCCCATTGCCATTAAAAAGGTAAAAACTTTTGAGAAAATTTAAGTATTGAGAATAGCGTTACTTACCACATCACTCAAATCAATATTATGCATACAACGATTTTCCATCTTAACTGGCATCAGACCAGCAATATAAACTTGCATAGAAGACGACCGATAGAGGAATTTTAACATCCAGTCAGCCCTGTGAAATAAAAATATATATTTTTTTAAAAGGATATAAAAAATAGATGTTAAGTAAAATTACTAGTGTGTTTGAGGTTCTATTCCTGTTGCGGGCAGACGCATGTGCAACTGTTTCCAACCTGTGTGCATTTTTTCCTCAGTTGCAGAGCCATTTTCTGAAAATCTAATATAAATAAATTTCATGTTTTCCAAATTGTCAGATATTTTCAAAACGGTAAATTCAGTGGCATCTTACAATTAAAAAGTCAATTTGACACCATCAGTTCTCAATTCAGTATCCATGGTGATGACACAACCATTTATTATTGTTTCGACAGTAAGTCTGACCAGTTCGATAAGGTCAGATTGCTGGCTGATCTCAAAAAAGACCTACAATCTGTTGTTAAATGGGGCAAGGAATGGCTTGTTACTTTTAATGTCTCCAAAATGAAACTTCTCTATTAATCACCTGAAAGACTGCTTCTTGCCTCAAATCAACATGGCTAATGCTGACCTCCAGAAAATTAATTCCTTGTGCTTTCTTCAGTAACATTCGCAGCTGACATGAAGTGGAAAGATTATATTAAATCCATTGCAAGTTCTGCTGCTTAGAACACTGATTGAATATATAATGTCAAACTTTTTTTCTTGCCAGAATATATCTTACATATTTATAAGTCTACCATTTCACCATGATTTGAATATTGCTGCCACACACAGTCTGGTGCACCTGCTATATATTTAGAAATTCTTGATAAAACCCAAAGAAGAATTTGCAATGTCATTGGTCCTGATCTGGTCAGACAATTTTTCTCTTCAGAATCCATCTTACATAGTTATAAGTCTACCATTTACCCATGCTTTGAATATTGCTACCATATCTTGCCCAGTGTTGCAGCTATATATTTAGAGATTCTTGATAAAACCCAAAGAAGAATCTGCAATGTGATTGGTCCTGATCTGGTATATCAGCTTCAATCCCTTTCCAACTGCCGTAACATAGCTTCCCTTTTCTATAAATATATTCATGGTAATTGTTCTGATGAACTTTTGTCTTTATGAATTTAAGCGCAGTACTAGATTGGCAGCAAGCTCTAATAATTTTACAGTTGAAATGGATGTAACCACAAGTTCTATGCTAACAGTTTCTCTTCTCACACTTCTCGCTTGTGGAACTCTCTTCCAATTTCTTGCATCCCAGTCAAGTTTGATTTTCAAAAATTTAAATGCAATGTCAGTAGTTTTTCTCATATTCTCTAACACTCAGTAACCCCTTGTGTCCTAGTGGCTTTATTGCCTTTGATCTTCAATTATTTAAATGCAATGTCAATCGTTATCTTCTGTCTTCTTAATTCTTCTTCTTTTATTGTCCTCTCTCCTTAATAGTAGTTTTTCTCATATTCTCTAACAGTCAGTAACCCTTTGTGTCCTAGTGGCTTTATTGCCTTTGATCTTCAAAATTTAAATGCAATGTCAGTCGTTATCTTCTGTCTTCTTAATTCTTGTTCTTTTATTGTTTTTTCTCTCCTTAATAGTATTTTTTCTCACATTCTCTAACGCTCAGTAACCCCTTGCGTCTTAGTGGCTTTATTGCTTTGCTTGGGGTGAAATGATTAAAAAAAATTATCCAGAAGCCATTAAACAATTATGGAAAATAAAACGCCCACACCTGACAATGACAATGGTAACAACCACAGCAATATCCTTCCTTGCAAAATGTCATTACTTTCCGAACACCCTGCAAATATATAGAAAGGAGTTTTTTGCTTACCTGCAATATCCATTAATTAGTTTCCCACTTACAACTTTGGTCAGTGGTTCCCAGTAAGACGTAGTCGCACTAACAGGGGCACCCAGCAAAATCACATCGTCTATAATTCCTTCACAACCTAAAATCAAGAAGGAAAAGCATCTAAGAATTGATTGTGTCGTCTTTTACGGTTTATCAACCCTTTTGCAGGTTATTTAAAGACAGAAAATATAATTAGATAGTAAGAATTTTTTTGGAGATAATAATGATCTTTACTGATACAAGTTCTACTAATTAATCCATAGCTGGGGGAGAGAGAGAGGAGGTGGATTCATGCCTAATCAAACTTTGATAAACAAACAAGAAATTATTAATTGGATATAAATGGGGTGGGGGATCAATTCTATATCATAATCAATATATAAACTGATCCCTCACTTTGTGGCCACAGCAGTTTCTATACATTTATATTCCAGAGAATGTATTGGGTGTAACAGCAAAATTATCCAAATCATATAACAGTGTGGAATAATTGTCCATCCCACAAAAAGGAAACAGGTTAAAATCATTTTGTGTCAGCCCTGCTATGTCTTCCCAATTGAGCAATGGTGAGATGAAAAAGATCATTCAGGCCTTCACTTATGATACAAACATTCATACTCTGGCTTTCAAAGTCCATTCAAGAACCATCAAAAGAATGGTGAATAAGTTTAAAAAAGAGGGAAAAGTAGAGAAAAAACTGGATCAGGAGGTCAAAACAGGAAGAGGGGGTCATTATTTCAACTTAGAGCTAAATACAGTCTTACTGTTCAAAGTAGAGTCCAATAGTCTTATGAAAACCTTGGAGAATTCCAGTAAGATAACTTTAATCATGTCTAAGATACAACAGTTCAAAGCTTAATATAACAAATGGACAATTTTGCTGCTACACCCTGTAAATAAATTTAAAAGACATGCCTGTATAGCTAATCAGTATTTCACTGATTGATTCATTCATTTTCTACAGCCTATCAACCCTTTGCAGGTTATTTAAAGCCAGAAAATATATTTAGATTGTAATAATTTTTTGGAGATAATAAAGATTTTACTGATTCTACTAATTAACCCATAGCTGGGAGGAGAAGAGGTGGATTCAAACTTTTCCAAAGGGTAATTGTGTGTAAGTGAGTATATTTCCAATTTCGAGCGGTTATCCATCACACCACCCACTTATCCAAGCTTACAGAGAACTGATGTTTCAACAGGACATGGCTGTAAGCCGTAGTAAAAATTTTTTTTTCTGAATTAAAGAAATCACATTCTTTTTGGATTCTTTAATTAATAAAAGTAATTGTAGAAAATAATTTTTTTGGTTCAAAATACAAAAGCTATTCATGTTTGTTGGTCCTAATCTCTGTTAGGAATGGTCGCCAAGAACATCCGGCGCCCAAAATTTATAGACAAATCCTACAGATACATACAGGGATTTCTTCTTAATCAATACCAATGGACAATTCTTGATCGTATACCCCACGCCATCTTTTTGTTCTTTCTTGTCTTTAAGTCAGGATGCTATAACAACTTGACTGTATCCCTTTTGTATTGTGAACATAATTTTAACTTTATGAAATTTTGGGCTTATAACTATTGGTTTGCCTAGTTTTGACATTTTGACATTGTGATAAATCTATTATTTTCGTTATTTTGATTAATATATCTATATTTATTTATGACACATATACATGTTTAAAGTATTTACATTATGATTCTAACTAGTGATAGTTACTATAGTGGTTTTATAACTCAAATATAAACCCTTCAGATCTATGAACAATCAGCTTTAACAGACCACCCATCCCAAACTATTACTCCGTCAATGAGAGGTTTGTGCGTATATAGAACTAATATATAACCCACTATATTTTGACAGGATTCCATATACAGGAAAAGGGGAAGTAATATTTATAAATGATGCAGAGTGCTAAATGTTAATAAAATTCATCTTTTTCTTATCTCTCCTAAACCCCGTTCCGCCATCTATTTACTGATGCTCATTATTCTTCTTTGTCCTTGTTCCCTTTAGAATGTTAGTGATCATGGCTCTCCACAACTTCCCGTCTTTTGTAGCTCTTGATATATTTTGACTTTTTGTTATCTCTCCTAAACCCCATTCTGCCAATCAAATTTGTTATTCTATCCGTTCAAGATTTTGGCAATTATGGCTCTCCACAATTTCTTGTCCTTTGTAGCTTTTAATAAATTTTATCTTTTCACTCTTCTAATCCTTGTTCTACCTACCATTTACACAAGCTCACTAGGCGGGTTATTCAATGTTTTCCTCTGTCCCTCTTGCCTTCAATCTGTCATTTGAGTGTCAAATTTTCCAAGCTCTCTCTCCTTATCATGTGGTCTAGAAATTTCAGCTCTCTCTTCTTGATAAGTATAAGTGGCTTTTTTGTTTTCCGTTTGTCTAAAACTTTGTCACTGATCACATGTTCAGTCCATGGTATTCTCAGCATCCTTCTGTAGAACCACATTTCTTCTTCTTCTCTGTGATGGGTCCATTCAAGTCGTTAACCATCACATCTCTCTACAATTTCATGTCTATACACAGTTTCCTCCATCCTGTCAGGATCAAATTTTCCAAGCCTCTTTTCCATATTTTGTCTATAACTCTTGCCTTCAAACTGTTCCATGTTTATCAAATTTTTTTTTAAAGCATTCATTCGTGGATAAAACATCAACATTTAACAACGTCTGACTCACAATGCATGAACAAACCAGAAACTGGCACTAAAAACAAATGACAGTGTCAAGTTGCGGCCATTTTATATTAACACTGAAAATTGATACAAAGAGATGACAGTTGTCATGGCCAAAATGTTTGAAGCAAAAATTGATCTAGAGCAGAAAATTTAGAAAGAAGATGAATAGGAAAAAAATAAAATATTGTCACAAACGACAATGAAACCTGACCTTTTCTATTGGCTAACTCCTCAAGGCAACAAAAGATGACCCTGGCTCCTAAACTGTAACCAACCAAGGTTACTGGGCGACAACCCTACAAAAAAAAAAAAAAAAATCTTTCATTATTTATATAATTTTATCAATAAAACCTTTTTTTATTTTTTTACAAACTAAATGTAATAGTACCCGTCATATGTGCAAGAATGTTAAATTTCAAAACTTGTGTGGGGAAAATTAAATAAAATAAAAGAAAAAGAATAAATAAACATTCCTAATCCGTCACACATACAGAATACAAGTAATAACAGAAAAACTTCAATGTAAAATAATAAAGTATTTAATTACCAAACATAATTAAAATACATTAGCAACAAAGAAGTAAAGAGTTAACAGAAAGATAATTGATTACCTATCAGTTAATACACAATTACATAGAGCTGCTAAGAAAAGTACTAATTTGTCTTGAAACATGTGACACTCGACTTTAACATCCGGGTTAACACAATAGTTAAACACGTAATTGTAGCCACCCAGTCAGTGGCAGGATATTTATATTTATACTAAATGGTGGTTTACATTTCTATTGTCTAGAGATTAATGTTCAAACTCCAGTGTCAACAGTGACACATTTCATTCATATATGACAAAAACTGAAAAGACGATTACGTCCCCTTGGTTTCTTCAAATGTCGACAGGTGGCATTGTTGAAGTCTATGAAAAAATAAACATAAAATAAACTCTTTATCCTCCATACTCCCAGTCCAAAGCAACATTCTTGAAAAAAGGAAGGGCTCCATTAAGGGACATTGTTTCCTAAAGTCTAGTTGATGAATGAACTCCATTTTCACTTTCCAATGACAGCATTCAGACATGTCTTGTAGCCCTACTCATGAAGGTAATTTAGTTGTTCCAACTCAGTGCAAGGCTGACTTGAGTGTGATTATTTTAACCATTCTTTTCCTTACTTATGTAACTTACTTCTGAACCAAAACAGAAAACGGACATACCCAAGAGACATTGAGAATTTTGTTTCCCTACAGTCACCATAAAATAAATAAATAGTCCAAGTTTTTTTTGTAGGTTTCTTCTTTGTTTATTGTACGACACATACATACCTAAAATACACACAAAACACGCAACCTGTTAAATTGCATATGTCTTCAAGAAACCAAAACCAAAGAACTTGATATTAATAGAAAAGATTGACAGCACAAGTTAATAGCTTTTGGAATCTGAGAGCAAATATGGAAATGGTTTGTCATTAATACCAAATGTTAACAATAACAGAGTTCTTTTTTTCACACGGTGGGACTATCTTCCAGATTCTTGCTTTCCGACTTTGATCTTCAAAAAGTTAAATGCAATGCCAGTCATTATCTACTGTCTTCTTGATTACTATTCTATTGTTTTCTCATATTTATAAAATACCTTCTTATTTCTTGTGCTTTTATTGTCCTCTCTCCTTAATAGTAGTTTTTCTCATATTCTCTAACACTCAGTAACCCCTTGCATCCTAGGGATTCATTGCCTTTGATCTTATAAAAATTTAAATGCAATGTCAATTGTTATCTTCTGTCTTCTTGTTCTTTTATTGTCCTGTCTCCTTAATAGTTTTTTCTTGTATTCTCTATCACTCGTTAACCGCTTGTGTCTTAATGGCTTTATTGCCTTGCTTGGGAATACATGATTAAAAAAAATATGTTTTTTATTTTGCACTACGTATTTATAAAAATGTATCCTTAAAGAAGGTTACAAATAAACAAAGATGGTACTCAAGTGAAAGGAACAGCAACACGGGTGTAGATGAAAGAAAGAAAGGTCTATTGTAAAAGAGAATACACTACTGAAAGACAGGAAATCCGTAAAAGCAAAGAGACGCAGATTAAGTGTATGTTGTGTTTGGCTATTTCTTGTTGGTTAGATACGTGTCACATGTAATGAAGTAATAGATAATATTCAAATAAACTTTCTGGATGTTAAAATATGTAAATGTTACTGAGACGCTGCAGAATATTTTGAACAATTTGGTAGGGAATAAAAATAGTTTCAATGTGGCAATGTATCCTAAGGAAGATCTGAATAATACTAATGTACAAAAAAATGTTTCCCTAGTTTTTACTAGTGGATCAGTGTTATATAACAATAAAATGTTGCTGCCGACACTTGAGTTTGAACATAGATCACCAGTAAGCAAACTGAGGCGATCCCATTATTGAATTAAGTGGATGAAGTAACCATGGAAGAAATGCATAAGTAGGAAGTCATTTGACATCTAAATGATTGCTATTTGTAGTCTATCCTTTATTACTGTACAGGCATTTATTCTCTATTGTATTTGCTATATGAATTACTATTTGGTGTTTACTTTTGAACGATCATTGAGCAAATACTATTAGTGTGAGTGCTATTCAAAGGTGTTTGACACCAGTATTGTTCAACAGTGTTACTATAGTTGTATCTGCGATTAGAAAGTCTCTACTACAACAAGCATTACAAAAGTGACAACATGTATTCGTTGGCATCACAAAACATTGTATTGATTAAACAAATGCATCGATACTGGTATAATGCTTACTGTACACTTTTCCAACCTCCTGTATACACCCATACTTTTTAATATTGGCTTAGTGGTCTTGTAAATGATTTATGTTATCATAAAGAGTACTGAACTGTTACATGATATTAGTCCTCCTATATGGCATTGAATGCTGGACAATCTTCTCACAGATTAAGAAGAGACTTGAAGCAACAGAAATGTGATTATATAGATGGATGCTGAGGATACAACAAGCATTACAAAAGTGACAACGAGTATCCGTTGGCATTACAAAAGTGGCAACTTAGTGTTCGGTGACGTCACAAAAATCAGTCCAAGTAATATTAACCTTCTGGCCACCTGACGAATTCATCATCAGGGTCAAGAACGATCAAAAAGACATCCTGGGTAGTTTTATCTTTGACTTTTGAAACCATGAAACCAATTATTTGTTCAGAAAAAAAAAATGATAAATTTAAAGCATACCATTTCTACATGCGAGCAACTATATTACTTAAACCAGGAGTGCCCAAACTTTTTCAAAAAGGGCCAGATCTGATGATGTGAATATGTGTGAATGCCAACCATACTGATTGTCATTCTTTGAATGATTAAAATTAAATGTAAATGAACTGTCTTATGAAAATCTGGGATATTTTCTTTTCTTCCCATGGATAACAAATAAATTTAAACAGGTCTTACCAAAATTGAGAGACCAACAAAATGATTGACCAAGAGACCAACAAAACTTTTTGTAACACCATAGATGAACTAAAAGCAAGGAATATGGCAACATTCACCAACTATAGCAAGGAAACCATCCAAAAGAGTTGCAGGAGATTTCAAAGTCATCTGGAGGACACAGTTGAAGCCAATGGCAATTTTATTGAATACATTTACTCCAGACTATTTTTCAAAGAGGGCTAAAATTGATGAGGTGAATATCTGTGAGGGCCAACCAGAACAGTTGGCATTCTTTGAATGATTAAATGTAAATGAAATATCTTACGAAAATTTTATTGGAAATAGTATATTTTCATTTCTTCACATGGATGACAAATAAATTTAAACATGTCTTACCAAAATCACTCAGCCTGTCAGATCTAAAGCCCAGATAAGATGAAGTAAAATATGTCTGAGATAAAAAGAACTTTCAGGAAGTTCTAATATATCTTAGGTTAATCTTAAGCATTATATATCACCAGTAATTAATGTAGTCTGTAAACTTTTAAGTTACCAACATATGAATAGGAACATAACACCAACATTCATTATGCCAGAGTGACAAGAAGATTGTTTTGAGAGCGACGCAAAAAGGAAGACGCCCGTTAGGCCATTCACCTATGCTTCATTTCAGCTTTACTTGTCTATAGCAGTGAGTTACAACCCAAAAGTAAAATTTGTTTATTATTACAAATTCTAATGATATTAATTCATGGGTAACAATCTGGTCAAAAGGTTATTTTTAAGCCACAAGCATTCTCTAATATCAGCATCCCATCCTTGGATTTCATGCAGCCTGTTGATGAGCATGTATTCCGTCCTGTTAGTTCTCGTATTATTTTACGTGTATCTGCTTTATTTTGATACACATTTCTGTACATTTTTTTATTGAGACATTCCTCTTTAGCTTGCTTGCATTTGTTCCTTATTTCTTCTTGCAGAATCCTATCTTGTCTCCTTTTCATCATGTCAAAAATTTCATCTGTCATTCATTCTTTTTTTTTTCTTTGTCTATTTCTCCTTGGGACAATCTTGGTTGTTGATGCTAATAAAGCTTCTCTAAACGTGTCAACTTCGAGTTTCAATTTTTGTTTTGTCCATTATATCTAAAAAAAAGTTAAAAACAAAGTGACGCAAGTCCAAGTGTCCAAATAGATTTATAACTGATTTTGACAAACACAAAGCAAATTTACTCCACTAAGATTTTAGAATTTATTCATCTCAGATGACCAAAACAAATAACTTGCCTTCACTAATGTGAAGGGTGATACTGAGATCTGGACTGAAGTATGTAGGATGGCTCTAGTTCAAAAGCAGCGATTTTAGGAATTGACTAGAGAAGGCCAAGACCAGGGTTGTTTTATACCCCTTCGCTCTGGGGATAGTCTTGGGGTGACAGTCTTGATTCACTCATATGTTGCATTCTTCTCTTTGTCATCTTCTGGTCAGGTGATCGCTTCTTGGTTTGTTTGTTTGGGTGTAAAATGAGAACTTCAACAAAAGGGATTTTTAAAGTTATCTATTTTATTAACATGTCAACATGTACATTTTTTAACTAGCCAGTGGGGTCGCCCGTCTCACCCCACTGTGAAGTAAGTTCCCTGCACATGAAATTAACACGTCTTCATTCTTTGATGCATGAAACTGAACGCCACAATATAACTTTCTATCTCTCTAACATTCTCATATTTGGCTCAGCCAATCAAAAATCAAGGTCCCTGTTTTGTCTACCAGTTGACCCCAAGGTCAGCCTCAGAAGGTCTGAGCATGGTCCCAAGGTCAGCCTCAGAAGGTCTGAGCATGGTCCCAAGGTCAGCCTCAGAAGGTCTCAGCCAAATAAACTGTCACTAAAAAATAATAGTCTGAAACTTATTTAACAAGGGTCACACTACCAGAGGGTGGCTACATAGTTCTGATACCATCCCAGAGGGTGGCTACATAGTTCTGATACCAACCCAGAGGGCGGCTACATAGGTGTGTACTTTATATACTCCGATTGACAATACAGGTGGGTCGTAAGTAATACATTTCATGACAGAGGATAGGGGTCTATATGAATTTTGAGTGCCGACCATAATTGGTCTGGATTTTGGAAATGCGTGGCTTAAACTGATTTAATAGTGTATACTCCTCTATAACCAATTTGTATTATTGAATTCAGTTATAAACAAATGCACATTTTGACAAGCGGATCTGGAAAGTCATAAACGGTTTTCACCTGTTCCCGAGCAAGAAGGACTTCAGCAAGTTGTTTACCAACTTCTCGAGATCTTTGAAGGCAGACACTCCATGGATTGTCGATTACAGCGGCAGCAGAGACAAGTGATGCAGGCCAAGCAATGGCAGTCATTAAACCTGAAATGACAGGAGGAAAAAAAAAACAATAATTTGTGATAAGACAATTTTCGCATGAGATAGATTTTTAAGCAAAATTAAAATACAAAGGGAGCCAACCCAACTTGTAATCGATAAGGGAGACAACTAAATTCGTGTTGTATTTTTGGAGAAAAGATAAACTCATACATTTTTTTTTTTTTTTTTTTTTAAGCATTTCACCCCAAACAAGGCTGGAAGCCACTAGGGCGCAAGGGGTTACAGAAGATTTAGAGCAAGATCAGGTAGGAGTGATAGAAGAAAGATGAGAATAAGGATAGTGGATAGATCAAGGCAACTGGAGATGTCGATTGACATTACACTTGAATATGGAGATTATAGCTCTCAGGAAAACTGGAATAGGGAAGGGAGTTCTACAGGCAAGACGTGCGAGCCATGAAGCTATTGGAGTAGAAGAGACGGCTACATTTAAGAGTTTCGACAGTGAAGGGGTGAGAGCGGGATGCCATCCTCGTAGGGTGCTTGAAATCATGACATCTGGGAACCAGCAAATGCAGCTCCTTGGAGCAATTTCCATGAAAGTATTTGTAGAACAGACAGAGAGAAGCGACGGCATGTCTGTGAGAAAGTGACTGTAGACGAGATGCCAGAGCAGGGCCAACTACATTAGATTAACAAAAATTAAATTTATTCATCAAAAACACGGTGGATTTAATGAGATAAGTCATGTACCTATTTCTGCAGGAATACAATGAAAAATAAAAAAATGAGATGTGACATGTTAGAGATTCTTGATCCACATTGAAAACAAATTCCTGTAGAGGAGACTTACCTCGGAACCCAAAAAGGACAGAGTCGTGTGTATGTTCTGCAATGGAATGTGGAGATAATAAAATTAGCAAGCTTCAGACTGAAGGTGAATAGGGCAGTATTTCGTGTGGACAGAAGTGATGTGCTGCTTGTAGCCATTTTCATTGAATGGTTCTGGATGCTCATTGGCTGTGCAATAACTGGATCAGGTGCATAAAAGCACGGTACACTCATTCAAGAGGGAGTCTTGTTTCTGACAAGGAGTTGTGCACTTGAGATTGAGGAATGGAGATAATTGTGGAATTAATTCGCCTATTGGACCTATTTCACTTATATATAGTATTTTTGTGTGTGTGTGTGTGTGTGTGTGCTTCCGACCAATTCTCACACAGCCACATATTTGAATAACAATAACATCTTATAAAACGCAGATTGTGTGTGTGTCTGTATGTTTATATATTGAATTGGATTTCCTACATTTTTCAACCGATTTCAACAAAACTTCACAGGACTACATAAAATTACCTTGCGGTGGTTCTGACAGTGCCAAAAATTGGAAAAACACAATTGTTTTTGCACAAAATCAATTTGAAAACACAATTAAGTGGCATTAATGAAAGGGGGACAACTCATATCGAGTTATACTTATTATAAAACCCACGTTGTTTGTGTGTGCATGTGTTCATTTATATATGTGATCGGATTTTTCAACAGATTTCAACAAAACTTCACTTTTTTTTTTTGGCAGGTAGTGTTTCTTATTGTCTTGCACACTTTTTCTTTATTTTTACATTCAGAATGCTTTAAAAATTCCATTTACAAGACAATTGTTTATAATAAAATTCTATTCAATCGGTAGACTCATAACGATTGAAAACAATGTTTTTGTTTCAGTTTGGGTTGACCAATTTGTAAAAAAAAAACAAAAAAACAAAAAAAAAAACTAATCAAGACATGCGTGTCTGTCAACCTTAAACAATAATCTTTGTCAATTTTATTTTTCAGTCTTTATGATGGTTGATACTTGATCTATCTCTTACTGTTACATCCCTGGGCAACGCCAGGCTCTACTGCTAGTATTTAATAAAATACAACTGAATTGTTCTAATCTCATGTGTGATGCCTATTTTGGATGTTTCAGTTTCCGTTAATTCCCTTTAGTAACTCAACTCTCCAAGGACTGTTTTTGGTGAGTCGAGATGTCTCTGGGTAGTTTAGTGAGGGATTGGGACATCATCCTTTGTAGCTGAGATTTACCTCAGCAACCCAAAAGGGCCAGAGTCGTGTGTATGTTCTGCAATGGAGTGTGGACATGGCAAATTGGCGAGCTTCGGACTTAAGGTGAATCGGGCAGCATTTCATGTGGGTAGAAGTGGTGGTGTTGCTTATAGCCATTTTTATTGACTGATTCTGGGCACTCATTGGCTGAACAATGGCTGGGTCAGGTGCATAAAAGTACGGTATCCTTATTTAAGAGGGAGTCTCATTTCTGACTGGCAGATGTTCGGATGAGCTATATTTCATAGTAAGCAACTCTTCATTTCTAACAAGGAGTTGCATACTTGAGATTGAGGAACGGAGATAATTGTGGAATTGATTTGCTTAATGGACCAATTCACTTATATATAATATTTTTATTTGTGTGTTAATTATGCCTTTTGTTTCCTTGGGCCGCAACAACATTTCTTTTTACCTCTGCGTCAACACTTCTGTGCCAAGTCTGTTTTGGTCGACTCACTTTTCGCTTCCTTTTGTGGTTTCAAGTTCAAAGGCCTGCCTGGTGACACTAGAAGCAGCTTTGTGGAGTGTGTGGCCAATCCATCCCCATTTTCGTTTCTTGTCTGGTCCTGTCCCACACTTGGTCGTTGGAGACAACTTCCAGCGAACTGATATCAAGGATGTTCCTGAGACATCATTTTTTTTGTGTGCGTGCTTCTGACCAATTCTCATACAATTTCTTTTTGTCGATTTTTTTTTTTTTTTTTTTACTTTTTATACAATGATGTTCACCCAGTACAAGACCAAAGAGCCACTTGAGGTAGAGGATTACAAACTAACAGGAACAGTTTATGGGGTTATGTGGCAAAGTTAACTGTTAGAATAATGTTGAGGCTCCTACCATAAAACATTATTGATATGCTGAGCCTTTTGGGGGGGGAAGAGGGTTGGAATGTTCATTTTGGGGAGGGGGAACTGAATGAAAATCTTCCTTGAATGCTTAGCATGTCAAGAGGCACCAACCTTAAAACAGATTCTAACCGATTGTTGTGACTTTATATCTATACATTAACAATTTTAATTCAATGTCTATGAGGAGACACGATTTTTCCCTTTTTTTTTTTTAAAACAGTGAAACCAATGTCAACCAGCATAGAAATTGAAAGTCTTACTGAAGAGAGATGTGCATTTCTTAAATAGGGTAAGTGGATCTTGTTTTGCCGTGATGACTTAGAGGGTTACAGACTATCAGAATCGGTTTATGGGGTTAGGTAGCAAAGTTAACTGTTAGAACTAGAGATGAACAGATTAAGATTGTAGTGATCAGAGAAGCATCCTCTTGGGAGTCATTTGTGCAAAAGTAGAAGTTCAGGGGAAGAAGCTGCTCGATTGGAATTTAGATTTCACAAATGTGGCTCTTAGTCTTGAAGGTTAGAACTAGTGGAACTAAGGAATTTAATTCTTTGGAACTCTTTTCATGTAAGTAGCAACAGAGCAGCGAGAATCTTACAACATTTCATCTGTGAGAAAGGGTTTGTAGGATGGGAAATAATTAGTCCCCCACAAGGACGCTTTTGGGCTCTACTGAGACTGGAAGGTGATGACCGGGCAGCTCTTGCACATACATGATAGAAGCTCTCCATTTTCTGCCTCATCCGATGTTTGTAAGGGAAGAGTCTGGTATTTACTGGCGCAGTACGGGGAATTGGCCACTTTTCCACTATCTCTAGAAATGGATAGTATGTGCAAGTTACTTGTTACAAACTAGCAGGGTTACCCACTGTTGCCTGTGTATCATATCAAAATAAACCCAGTAAAACTGCTAGATAAGCTTGGTTTGATTTGTTTTACAGCATATCAACACCTCAATAGGTTATTTAATACCGAGAAGATATTTATTGCTGGTAATATTTCTTTTTCCAAAATGTATTCCTGGTAATATTTCTTTTTCCAAAATGTATTCCTGGTAATATTTTTCTTTCAAAAATGCACTGCTGGTAATAATGTATTGCTGGTAATTTTTTTTATCAAAACATTGCTGGTATTAAAACCTATTTTTACACTTTCATAGTTTTGACTCCAGTTTAGGGGTTAACTATTTGCCCATAGTTGGGACCCTAACAGGTGCTACCACCCCAGGTCAGGGTGTACCCGGGAACACCAGTAATTAAGAAGTGGTTTCACACTCCTCAAAACCATCTGATCAGAGGCCTTGCTGTTGGGCGTAGTTTATCATCTTCCTCAGAACATGAATGTAGTTTATATTACCCAGGACAGTAGATAAGCTCGATTTATTTGTAACGAAACAAACTGCCAGCATACAGATAGAAAATGAATTCAGTAAATATACAAAAATAGAGAGGGGTGAAAGACAAGGATGTGTCTTCTCACCAGACTTATTCAACCTATACAGTGAGGTTATTCTAAGAGAATTAGAAGTCCCGTCAGGATTCCTTACTGGCAGCCAGAATATTGACAACATTAGATAGTGTTGATTGCAGACAAAGAAAGGAAGCTATCAAAGGTAGTGAAGGAAAGCAAGAAGAAAGGACTAAATATCAATTGTAAAAAGACAAAGTTGTCAGCAAAACGAACAGCCCAACATTGCAAATTACAATTTGGAAATACCAAAATCAAACAAGTACAATAATTTAAATATCTAGGAATTAATATAAATTTAAATAAAAATTCCATTATCTGAAAGTATATGGGGATAGTGAAAGATGTCTACCAAAAGCTAAGCAAAGTATTAAGTAACAGGAAAATTTCATTAGAAACAAAGAAAAGAATACTGAACTGTTATGTAATATCAGTCCTCCTATATGGTAGATAAGGCTGGACAATCTCCTCACAGGTCAAGAAGAGACTTGAAGCAAGAGAAACAAATAAAAGACTACTGAACTGTTATGTAATATCAGTCCTCCTATATGGCAGTGAATGCTGGACAATCTCCTCACAGATGAAGAAGAGATTTGAAGCAAGAGAAACAAAACAGTACTGAACTGTTATGTAATATCAATCCTCCTATATGGCAGTGAATGTTGGACAATCTCCTCACAGATGAAGAAGAGACTTGAAGCAAGAGAAATGTGGTTCTACAAAAGGATTTTGAGAATACCACGGGCTGAACAAATGAGCAAGGTTGAAGTTTCAGATAAAATGGAAACAAAAAGGCCACTTATATTTAACATCAGAAAGAGACAGTTGAAATTTCTAGAGCACATAATGAGGAAAGAGGGCTTGGAAAATTTGACACTCAAAGACATATTGAAGCCAAGAAGGACATTGGAAAGCAGTGTATAACTTATATAACAAGCTTGTGTAAAAGGTTGACAGAAAAGATATTAGGAAAGACAGCAAAAAGATAAAATTTACTAAGAGCTACAAAGGACAGGAAATAGAGGAGGGCAATAGTCGCTGATGCCCTGAAGGGACATGGCACATAGAAGAACTAGCTTATTTAAAGGGTTGACAGAAAAGATATTAGGAGAGGCAGTCATCAAAATGACAAAGTAGGAGTTACAAAGGATAGGAAAAAGTGGAGAGACATGACTGCCTCTGCCTGACTGAAAGGGCATGGCACACAGAAGAAGAATGAGCTTGTGTGTGTAAACGGTTGACAGAAAAGATATTAAGAGAGACAACAAAAAGAAAAAATTGCTAAGAACTACAGAGTAGAGGAAATAGTGGAGAGCCATGACCGACTGTGACCTGAAGTAAATAGCAAGCAGCTCCAACAATGAAGGCCACTGAAGGAAGATAAATTACGTCTTTTAGACAAAGATTACAAGACAAAGAACAATGTTCTCTATAAGACAGTGGTCACTACCTGCAAAAAAGCCAGAGTGACAAGATTGCTTTGCTTATCTATAGCAGTGAGTTACAACCCAAAAGTAAAATTAGTTTATTATTACAAATTCTAATGATATTAATTCATGGGTAACGATTTGATCAAAGGGTTATTTTTAAGCCACAAGTTTTCTCTAATATCAGCATTGCATCCTTGGATTTTATGCAACCTGTTGATGAGCAAGTATTCCGTCCTGTTAGCTCTCATATTATTTTACGTGTATCTGCTTTATTTTGATACACAATCTCTCTATTTCTGTACATTTTTTATTGAGACATTCCTCTTTAGCTTGCTTGCATTTGTTACTTATTTCTTCGTGCAGAATCCTATCTTGTCTCCTTTTCATCATGTCAAAAATTTCATCTGTCATTCATTCTTTTTTTTTTTCTTTGTCTATTTCTCTTTGGGACAATCTTGGTTGTTGATGCTAATAAAGCTTCTCTAAACGTGTCAACTTCGAGTTTCAATTTTTGTTTTGTCCATTGTATCTACTTTTAATACTGTCCATCTATTTCTTCTGTAACATCTGGGTCAATCAGAAATCTGTCATATTGCAAGTTGGGTGCTGCTATGGCCCTCTTCAATTTCCACAGTTTCACTCTAAGTTTACATACCACTGGAAGGTAGTCACTTTCACAGTCAGTGCCTGGATATGTTTTCCAGTGAAAGACTGCATTTCTGAATCACTTCTTGATAGTTGTATTGCGAATTTGATTTTTTGTTTCACTTCCCAAGTTTCTCCATGTCCCTACATGTCTTCAGTGTTCTTAAAACCACATGTTCGTTACTACCTAATCATCCACCATGTGCCACTGGATCCATTTTTCTCCATGTTCATCATGATTACATAGTCTGAATTTACCAACAATTTCACAATCTCACTCTTTGCTTGCTTTGGCATTCAGATCTCCATGACAATTGTATTTCTTTTAATTTGCATCGAGTCTTGGCATTATCTACTATGGAGTATAACTTTTCAATTTCTTCTTCTGTACCGCATGCTATCAGGGAATAAACAACTAGGATGGATATGTTGAAAGGCTTTCCTTTCAGTTTAACAGCAAGAGTTCTTTCAAATAGCTGACAGTATCCAATAACACAATTCTTCATGTCTTCATCTTGTATCAGTCCTACTTCTCTCTTATTCTTCTATTTGCTTGCATATATGATCCTCTGTGAAATCTCCATTGTTTACCCACCTATTACATGTGTTCTAATTGGTGAATATATAAGACAATTTTGATTGGTTAGACAGAAATTCAGCATTTGTGTTTTTTGTGATGTCAACAAACACTCATTGCCACTTTATCAATGCCAACATAGTGGAGACTTTGTAATCGCAGATACAACTATAATACGCCGTTGAACAATACTGATGTCAGACATTTTCGAATAATACTTATATTAATAGTACTTCATATAGTGAATAGAGTAGAGAATAGCAGTCCATATAGTAATAAAGAAGAAATGGAGATCCATATAGTAATAGAGGATAGATTAGAAATAGCGAACACGTAAGATATCACGCGACTTCCTCTATATATGCGCTTCCTCTATGGTTATGTCATCTACTTAGTTCAATAATGAAATCGCCTGTTCACAGACGATTTATGTTGAAACACAAGTGTCAGCAGTGACACTTTATTCCTATAAAACAGTGTTGCATAGCCATTTGGTGAGGGTTGGTCTTAAAGGGCAACAGTCTTGATTCACTCCTTCTTTCTCAGCCGTTGATCGCCAGTTGTTTTGTTCAGAAACAAAAAAGAGCTTCAACAAAAGAGATTTTAAACTTATCTATTTTATTAACCTTTATCACGCTAATTTCTTTCTAGAAATGTTCTCTCTGCAACTGCATTTTTTCCAAAAATATAATAGAAATCTTTACTGAATGCATTAACAGATCTGAATATCACACCTTTTTATATCTAAATATCCCGTTTGTTTTGGTTGCATGACATAACTATATCAAGTATAATTTTACTAATTTAGTGACTCCTAATGGCAGATAACCTCATTATCAAATTGTTGTGTCGGAAACCTACCACCCCTCTTGAAGATGAACTTGTCTGCGTCTGTGAACAAAGACTTTAAATAGTGGCATGTCAGTTGACATGACGGAAGACAGATAGACTGAGAAGTTCTTAGCTGAGCTAGTTATTGACTACTCAGGCGATTTCTGTACCTTTTTACCAACCTATTAAAACCCGTTTTTATTGTTATGTGTTATTTGGCGTTTGTCTCTACTAACCCCAAATCAACATCATAACACAAATTGATTCTTTTAGATGGATATTTGGATGTCAAAAGCAATACAGACATGCATAAATTCTTACCTGATAATATTGTATATTTCAAAGCTTCTTGGGTTGCCACACCAACAGCCAGGCTAAAGATATAGTCAAAAGCCTTCCCTAATTCCAAAAGGTATTTTGACTCCCAGCGGAGACTATACTGTTCTCGGCTTTCGTTCAGGGCCAGCCATGGTTCTTTGTAATCTACAAAAATAAAATTAAAGGCAATTACAAAAGGATAAAAGCATTAGAAGATCCTGAATAAGATTTCAGTGCACAGGATGGTGTATTTTTCAGAGTAGGGAGGCAGAGGTTGAATTAATGAACAAAAATTCACAAATGGATCAAGATGTTAAAACTTTGTTTATTTTTTGAAAAGATGTAGCAATATCAGTTGTCAGTTATCTTGCTAAAGGTGAACATCCAACTGATGTTGCAGAAATTGTTTTGACGGTTATTGCCTTGACAACAGTTCACCTGAGTGAAAGTGAACCTTGCAAGAATCATGTCAAATGATCTGACAAAGAGGGTCAGCTGAGTTTTAGTTTGTTTTATGGCATATCAACCTCAATGCCAACAAGATTTTTATTGCTGATATTTTTTTTTCAAAAATGTAGTGCTGATAATATTTTTTTTTTTCCAAAAATGTATTACTGATAATATTTTTTTTTCCAAAAATGTATTACTGGTAATATTTTTTTTCCAAAAATGTAGTGCTGATAATATTTTTTTTTTCAAAAATGTATTGCTGGTAATAATTTTAAAAAAAAAATGGATTGCTGGTATTAAAACCTATTTTTACACTTTAATAGTATTTTGACCCCAGTTTGGGGGTTAACTATTTACCTATAGCTGGGACCCTAACAGGTGCTGCCACCATGGTTCAGGGTGGACCTGGGAACTTTTTCAGCAATTAAGCAGTAGTTTCATGCTCCTCAAAACCTCCTGTTCAGATGTAGTTTATCATCATACCCAGGATGTGAATGTCAGCTGAGTGGAGTGAACTTTATCAATGATTTTCTTTTAGACAAAAGCTGACAGGACAAAGAAGGATGGTTATCTATAAGACAGTGGTCCCGAGCAGCCAAGGACATAGACCATTCCCATTGCCAAGTGAAAAAAGAAAGGCAGGCACCAGTTTGCTCCTCACTTGCTTACAGCAGAAGGTTACAATAGAATAAAATTTGCTGACTGCAACAATTTCGTCTCGTGGTTTAGTGGATAACAATCTGGCCAAAGAGTTAATTTTCTTACGTTAAGCCACAAACATTTGACTGGAAGAAGTCGCGCTCCAAGAATGAATTTGGTGTCTGTGTGAGCTGCAACACTACAAACAGTACAGCTTAAATACTGTCAAATTTTTGGAAAATAGAAAAAACAAAAAAACTCTTAATCAAGGAGCAGCAAAATAAAGCCCACCTGATGATCCTGTGAACCTTGTCTATTACAAAAAAAAAAAAAAAAAAAAAAATGGTAATTTTTGGTTCCATGTTGTTTTCTATCCTGAGTATGATGATAAACTACATCCGCATCCTGGGTAAGACGATAAACTACATCCGCCAGCAAGGCCTCTAATCAGGTGATTTTGAGAAGCGTAAAAGCACTTCTTAATTGCTGGTGTTCCCAGGTCTACCTAAACCCGGGATGGTAGCACCTGTCAGGGTCCCAACTACGGGCAAATAGTTAACAAAAAAACCATGCCAAAGGGATTAAAAACACTGAAAATAATTTTTAATACCAGCAACACTTTTTGGGAAAAATTTTTACCAATAATACATTTTAGAAAAAAAAAAAATTACCAGAAATACATTTTTGGAAAAAAATATTCCCAGCAATAAAAATCTTGTTGTCATTAAATAACCCATTGAGGTGTTGATATGCTGCAAACCAAACCAAACCAAACCAAACTAAAAAAAAAAAAAAAAAAAAAAAAAAAAAAATAACATACCATTTACATCCAAACAGCATTTTTGTTGTTACCTGAATGTTTCAGCTGTTGTTCCCTCCAACCTTCATCAGGTGTATATCACTCTGGGTAATCTACAGGTAATTCTAAACTGATCTCTTTATTTAATCTACAGAGGTGGACCATTCTCATTCTCCTGCCCTTGCCTAGCAATATCTTGTCTATTTCTTAGGCTACTGCTCTGTTATTGCTCATCTGTTTCTACCGAGTCCAAGTACACACCGCCCGGCCCAGGGATTGAATTTTTTTTTTATTATTTTTTTTTATAATCATTTCACCCCCAAGCAAGGCAGTAAAACCACTAGGATGCAAAGGGGTTACTGAGTGTTAGAAAATATAAGAAAAACTACTATTAAGGAGAGAAGACAATAAAAGAACAAGAATTAAGACAACAGAAGATAACGATTGACATTGCATTTAAATTTTTGAAGATCAAATGCAATAAAGCCACTAGGATGCAAAGAGTTACTGAGTGTTAGAGAATATGAGAAAAACTATTATTAAGGAGAGAGGACAATAAAAGAACAAGAATTAAGAAGACAGAAGATAACGATTGACAATACATTTAAATATCTGAAGATCAAAGTTGACCAGAAAGCAAGAAGTCAGATGAGAGTTCCACAGGCAAGAAGTGTGATAGAAGAAATTTTTAGCATAGAACTTAAGGTTACATCTAGCGATTTCAGCTGTAAAATGATGAGACCTTGCTGTCAATCTAGTACTGCACTTAATTTTATAAAGTCTACGTACCATAGAGGAGAGTTTCTCATAACAATAACAAATGAAAATATTTATAGAATAAGGTTGAAAGAAGCTACGCTATGGTGGTGAGAAAGAACTCACATTTTACAACTCATCTCTAATGTTAATATTAACTGTTTCCTTATAAGGAAACATTCAGTAATTCCTGATTGATCAGACTATGCTACTCAAGTTAACTCCATGGCCATTGGGATGGGATCAAAGTGTAGTACCTGTTCACCTCATCTCTCATGGTAATATTAGCCATTTCCTTATTGTTCTGAGCATAACAACAAACTACATCCGTGTCCTGGGTAAGATGATAGACTACACCCAACAGCAAGGCCTTTACTCAGATGGTTTTGATCAACATGGATTCACGTCTTAATTGCTGGTGTTCTCAGGTCCAACCTGAATCTGGGTGGTAGCACATGTCAGGGTCCCAGCTATGGGCAAATAGTTAACCTCCCAAAAGGGGTCAAAACACTATGAAAGTATAAAAAATAGGTTTTAATACCAGCAATACTTTTTGGGAAAATTTTTTACCAGCAATACATTTTTGGAAGAAAAAAATATTACCAGAAATACATTTTTGAAAAAAAAAAAAAAAAAATTACTAGCAATAAAAATCTTGTCGGCATTAAATAACCCATTGAAGTGGATATGCCATAAAATCAAACTAAACCAAACAATTTCCTTATAAGGAAAAATTCGGCATTTATTAACTAAAAAGCTTGTACTAGTGTCGATTGAAATTTATAAAATCTTCATTTTCCATCCTTGATAACATTTCACAGTTTCATAGAGGATGATTTATTTTCTGACTATTTCTCCACAAATGCAACATTGTAAGCCTATCCCTAGTCTATTATTATTTCCATGATAGATGTTTAGATGAGCGCTTCATTCGAATCCTCGGTATTCCTAATGTAAGGATAACATTCCAGTCAGACAGCTTTTTCCTGAGAATTGATAATTTGTGGAACAGACTCCAGTGGGGATGCTTCCCTGAACACTACAGTTATATATCATCCCTATCCTCATAATTTTCCCTTCCTACCACCACTTTCCTTCATATCACTAATCTCATTCTTCAAAACCATTTTAACAGTAACTCTCTATTTTGAGTGGCTCTTGAGCATTGTATGAAGTGAAATTTATTAAAAAAATAGTTTTGCAAAAGGCCACAGATGCACAGAATTAAAAGATCAAAACTACTACATTAATGGCCTGTCAGCTTGTTAACCATTACTATACATAGCACTGTTACTTTTTCTCTAATTTGGTTTGGCAAACATGGACATTTTTGTCTGAAAAAAAATGCTATGACAAAAGGATGTTTTTTTCCCTTGACACCACTATTATTTTAACTACCTTCACTTCTCAACAATGTTTATCATTTTAAAAAGCGATGATTAGAATTGTAATAAAACCTAATATGAAAGTGAATTTATACATTGTTTTTGTTCTTGACAACAAAAATATTAAACACAATTTATTTAGAGTCTGTCTATATTTCTGAGATGAGGTATTATGTACATTATTTACATTATTCAGACTATTGTCCTCATCTTTGTCGCCATATTTATTAATATTGTTTTTCATTTTATGCTGGAGCCTTCTTCCGGTGGTTGGAATATGGAGAGAGAAGGGAGATCACCGCCCTCTGTGGGATCATGTTGAGATCATAGACAGAGAACACCATTGGAAAATTTGTAAACTTAAGGAATCAGCACATATGCTAGGCCACAAAAATCTCCTGAGCCGACCAAGCATAGAAATGAATACAATATGGGAACCAGTAATAAGGAGTGCCAGAGAAAAGCAATGATAACAACAAAAGTTGTAATATGAGCTCAGGTAAAAACATGAAATGATAACAGCAAATTGCAATATGAGCACTGGTAAAAATGGTTGCTGAAGACATTAGGTTTATAATACCCAGAAATTCATATGCAGATGTCCTCAAGGACACATAGCACAGTGGACAAAGGCGTTGGGTAGATCCAGTGACAGATCCAAAGAGTGTGAGTTCAATACCCGGTTAAGGCAGTGGAATTAACAGGAGATAACTGATAACTGACATCCATCAAACATGGCACGTGGAACTAGAACAGTCTACCCCAGTGAGCGAAATAAAGGGTTCAGTTTGACATTCCAACCACCTGAAGAAAAAAATATTGTACAACGGCCAAAACGTTAAGATAAATATGGTGACAAAGATGAGGACAATAGTCCAAATAATGTAAATAATGTACAATTTATTTGCTGGAGAAATTTTTATTTAAAAGAATAATTTTATATTTACAATTTTGTCCAAACAATAATACAAATTACATTTCAATTATTTGAAATAGTTACAGATGTAATCCAATATGGCAAAAAAAGATTTAACATTACAGCCAAATGCTTTAAATATTTTTTGTCAAATTTCATCTTTGACAGATGTTACAATCAGTCTTCATATAATATTATTTCAACAAGATAAGGGTACGTTAGTTACTATTTCTTTTTATTTTTAAATTAAACAGATTTTTTTTAATTCTTATCTTTATTTTAAAATTTTCCTTGTAATAGTTATTTTACCTATTTCATGACGATTTAAACTACAGATTATTGAGAGAATTGACAGATCAAAATTTTAAAACTATTTTTTTAATATTCAGGACAACATTTCAGCTGAATAATTTTATGTAAATAGTTATTTAAAGATTTATCTAATAAAGATGAGGACTCATAATGAAATTTTAAATTTGAGAAATGAATAGCAATAAAGATGAGGACAAAATTCCAAAATTTAAGTTTACAAATGTTGAATGAAATGGCAATATATTCAAAAATGTAAATTGTAAAAATATTACAATACCTCATTGAGAAATAGAGAAATGTTGAAATGAATTTAAAAAAAGATGAGGACAACAGTCCAAACAATGTAAATAGTGTAAATAGTTACAAACCTATCTGAGAAATAGAGACAGATGTTGAAGGTGAATATGGCAATAAAGATGAGGACAACAGTCCAAACAATGTAAATAGTGTAAATATTACAATACCTATCTGAGAAATAGAGACAGATGTTGAAGGTGAAATTGCAAAAAATTGGGACAACAGTCCAAACAATGTAAATAGTGTAATTTCAAGTTACAATACCTCATCTGAGAAATAGAGACAGATGTTGAAGGTGAATACAATAAAGAATAGGACAACAGTCCAAACAATGTAAATAGTGTAAAAGTTACAAAATCTGAGAAATAGAGAAATGTTGAATTTGAATAAAATAAAGGCAATGAGGACAACAGTCCAAACAATGTAAAATTTTTGTAAAAGTTACAATACCTCATCCCTTTTGAATAGAGACTAAAATGGTGAATAGTGGACCATCATCTGAGAAATTAAAGGACAAATTCCAAACAATGTAAATAGTTAAAATTTACAATACCTCATGAAATAGAGACAGATGTTGAAGGTGAATATGGCAATAAAGATGAGGACAACAGTCCAAAAATGTAAATCATGTAAATAGTTACAATACCTCATCTGAGAAATAGAGACAGATGTTGAAGGTGAATATGGCAATAAAGATGAGGACAACAGTCCAAACAATGTAAATAGTGTAAATAGTTACAATACCTCATCTGAGAAATAGAGACAGATGTTGAAGGTGAATATTAAATAAAGATGAGGACAACAGTCAAACAATGTAAATAGTGTAAATAGTGACAATAATCATCTGAGAAATAGAGTCAGATGTTGAATAGTTAAAATATTCATCAGAAATTTAGATTTGAGGACTTTATAGTCCAAACAATGTAAATAGTGTAAATAGTTACAATACCTCATCTGAGAAATAAAGACAGATGTTGAATTTGAATATGGCAATAAATAAGAATAGGACAACAGTCCAAACAATGAATAAATAGTGTAAATAGTTACAATACCTCATCTGAGAAATAGAGACAAATGTTGAAGGTGAATATGATATAAAAAGATGAGGACAACAGTCAAACAATGTAAATAGTGTAAATAGTTACAATACTTCATCTGAGAAATAGAGACAAATGTTGAAGGTGAATATGGCAGTAAAGATGAGGACAACAGTCCAAACAGTGTAAATAGTTACAATACCTCATCTGAGAAATAGAGACAGGTGTTGAAGGTGAATATGGCAATAAAGATGAGGACAACAGTCTGAATAATGTAAATAGTGTAAATAGTTACAATACCTCATCTGAGAAATAGAGACAGATGTTGAAGGTGAATATGGCAATAAAGATGAGGACAACAGTCCAAACAATGTAAATAGTGTAAATAGTTACAATACCTCATCTGAGAAATAGAGACAAATGTTGAAGGTGAATATGATAATAAAGATGAGGACAACAGTCCAAACAATGTAAATAGTGTAAATAGTTACAATACCTCATCTGAGAAATAGAGACAAATGTTGAAGGTGAATATGGCAATAAAAGATGAGGGACAACAAAGTCCAAATAATGTAAATATTTGTAAATAGTTACAATACCTCATCTGAGAAATAGAGACAGATGTTGAAGGTGAATATGGCAATAAAAGATGAGGACAACAGTCCAAACAATGTAAATAGTGTAAATAGTTACAATACCTCATCTGAGAAATAGAGACAGATGTTGAAGGTGAATATGGCAATAAAGATGAGGACAACAGTCCAAACAATGTAAATAGTGTAAATAGTTACAATACCTCATCTGAGAAATAGAGACAAATGTTGAAGGTGAATATGATAATAAAGATGAGGACAACAGTCCAAACAATGTAAATAAATACAATACTTCATCTGAGAAATAGAGACAAATGTTGAAGGTGAATATGGCAGTAAAGATGAGGACAACAGTCCAAACACTGTAAATAGTTACAATACCTCATCTGAGAAATAGAGACAGGTGTTGAAGGTGAATATGGCAATAAAGATGAGGACAACAGTCTGAATAATGTAAATAGTGTAAATAGTTACAATACCTCATCTGAGAAATAGAGACAGATGTTGAAGGTGAATATGGCAATAAAGATGAGGACAACAGTCTGAATGATGTAAATATTTTATTAAAACCTATGTAATATTTATCATTTACAAAGAAATAAATATGAAAACAATTTTTTATTCATAAATTTATAAGCATTTACTAAATTATTAAAATATGTAATCCAACAATAAGGAAATTCTTATTTACCATTTTATAAAGTTTGAATCAACCAGCAATTAATCAATGTTTTGCCAACCATTCCAATAAACAATTTAATAAATAGTGTTTAATATTTTTGTTGTAAATTCTCAAAAACAAACAAAATATGTATAAATTCACTTACATATGTTTAGGTTTTATTACAATTCTAATCATTGCTTTTTTTTAAAAATAGTAAACATTACCAAAGAGTAAAAATAGTTAAAATAAAAGCAATGTCTAAAAAAAAAAAAAATATGTCCCTTTAACACTGCATTTTCTTCAGACACAAAGGTCACCATTTTTTTCAGACACAAAGGTCACCATTTTTTCATACCTTTCATATAACTGTTAAGCCAACCATTGACAGCAATAGTGATATGCAGTTGTCTCCCTTGGCTTTGAGACTGGAGAGGAGAACCAGGAATCAGGGGTTCAAACACAAATTCTTCTACAGCTCCCACACGGCGTTTCATCTTGTAACCTTGGAAAAAAAAAAACCAATAATTATTTAGAACAGAGAAGCTTATATCATAGACAGTGGATCAAAACTTGTTTTTTTTTTTCTTTTTTGGGGTTTTATTAACCATTTCACCCCAAGCTAGGCGGTAATGCCACTAACACGCAAAGAGATACTGAGAACAAAAGAAAATGAGAAGATCTTATTAGGAACTAGAGACCCAATCATAAACGGAAAACAAGCCATATCTAGTCCAATGGAATGAGAACAGCCTATTCCTGTAGATTGAATAAAGGGTTCAGTTCAGAATTCGTTGTAGGTTAATCAGATCGACATATACATGATGAAGGGCGGAAGGTACTACGTCCAAAATGTGATGACAGCAACAATAAAGATAAAAAAAATAGTTGAATGTAAATAGTGTAAATATCCCTCCCCACTCTTTTGAACAGGAGTAGAGGTTTATCCATTGTTTCCTGTTTAGGATAAACTTTTCCGATGTTGGTTCTTTTTAAAGTAAATACCTCATTTTATATTTTTACCAAAATTACTAAACTCTGTTATCCTGCTTTTTTTAGGCTAATACAACTCCAGATAATTCTTCCTTGAGTGGCTAAAAATTGAACATTAGTAAAAAAATGAAAAAATCTCCTCATCCCAGAAATTATCAATGTTTTTAATATTTTTATTTAGTTTTGGAAAGCTTGTCCACATGTAAATAATGAAAATCCTAATAGAAACAAAGAAAAGATTGGTGAATTGTTATCAGGGCCACTGAGAAAAATTTTGCAAGGCAGTAGAAGACTTCTTTGGGACCCCGAGGTAGGCAAAGATCTTTCTCAAAATAATAATACATACAGGCACATGATTTTCCAAAAATTTTGATGTGCACTTGACCACCATTACGCTAATTGACACACCTATGCATCTACCCCCGGGCTGTAGGTAGATACTCTTGGTATTGTCAGATGTTTCTACAACAAGGCCTACAATAAGTAAGCATAAATACTGTCGCTTAAATAAGTCTGTATAAATATTAACGGTTTTTCTACAAATCAAAAACAATATCGCTGGTTCAATTCACAGTCCTCTCGCTCTTTCTTTGATTCGTCACTACTATAAAGAATAAAAGCCCCCCTTTTCCACGGCTCCAGCCCTCTTTTATCAGGCCAATGTCAAAAATGGTTCCCTAGCCAATCAGCAAGAATTGTTAAATCGTTACACAGGCAAATTGCCTCCTCAGTTATTATCGACCAATCAGCACATTTTTTATATATTATATTTAAGCATTCCAAACTGTACAAAAAACCCTCATCAAAATAGAAGACAAATGTTGCACATACTGCTAGAATTTCAAGACAGGAGAGAATAATGCCATTTTCATACCTCAAGCAAACTTGCTGATGTCATGTTAAATAAATATTTTTAAGACCCTTATCTTCCTATACACCAGATGCAAGCCACTCTGGCTCGCTTGCTTCTACGGGGCTGTTCACCACAAATACTAATAAAAAGTAGTAAGTGTCATGTGATAAACTCAGGGTGCAAAGGATAAATTATTGTCTAAAGGATGCAAAAATGAAAATAACACCAACATCTCATTTTAACAGATATTTTTTTTTTTAAGCATTACGCCCCAAGCAAGGCGTGAAGCCACTAGGATGCAGGGGGTTGCAGAAGATTTGGAGCGAGAGCGGATAAGAGTGATAGAAGAAAGGATGAGGAGAAGGATAGTGGGTAGATCAAGGTAAGTGGAGGTGTCGATTGACATTACATTTGAATAGTTGGAGATTATAGCTGTCAGGGAAACAGTAATTGGGAAGGGTGTTCCACAGGCGAGAGGTGCGAGGTATGAAGCTATTGGAGTAGAAGAGGTGGCTACATTTAAAAGATTCTACAGTGTAAGGGTGGGAGCGGGATGCCAGCCTCGTAGGGTGCTTGAATTCATGGAATCTGGGAACCAGTGAGAGCAGCTCATCGGAGCAATTACCATGAAAGTATTTGTAGAAAAGACAGAGAGAGGCGACGTTGCGTCTGTGAGAGAGTGACTGCAGACGAGACGCCAGATCAGGGCCAATTAGATTACATATCCGTCTCTGGATCTTGTCAAAAACTCCGAGGTAAGCAAAAGGTGCACCAGACCATATATGGCAGCAATACTCCATGCAAGGGCGAATGGTTGATTCGTATATTTGAAGTATCGATTCAGGGGAGAAAAATTTCCTGGCGCGGCACAGAGAGCCAACTTTCCTCGCAGTGGACGAAGCAATTGACTCAATGTATTTATTCCATCTCAGGTCAGCAGTCAACGTGAGACTGAGCAGATGCAGGGAGTTGCTCTCAAGAAGTTGACTATCAGACATTCTAATGGAGGGCTGGGAAGGATCTCTATGGTGGTTAATGGAGAGTAATTTAATTTTTGAGGCATTAAAGTTGACCAGCCAATTCTTGCCCCAGTTAACAACCAATTGGAGGTCCATTTCAAGACGCACAGCCAGGTTAGTTTTGTCGCCGACACTAGATTACAATCAAAATTACAGAAATACCTTAAGATGCTAAGAGTAAATTTATTCAATAAAGTCGCCATTGGCTTTAACCATAGCCTCCAGACGACTTTGGAATCTCCTGAATCTCTTTTGGACAATCTCCTTGTTTAAATTGTTGAATGCTGCCATAATCCTTACCTTCAGTTCATCTTTGGTCTTACAAGGAGTTTTGTTGATCTCTTGCTCAACTACACTCTACGCATAATAATCAAGTGGGTTGCAGTCTGGGGAGTTACGTGGCTAGATGTAAGGGATGATGTAGTTGTAGAAATTGATGACTGGGTTCTCCTACTTGTGTGGCATGGTGCAGAGTCCTATTGGCAGACATAGGGTCTTCCAGCAGTCACCCTCTTGACCTAGGTCACTACTACCACCTCAAGGCACATGATGTACACCTGTGTTGGATCTGAGGCCCTGTAGGAAAATGAACGGAGGCATAACATCGTCATCACTAGTGATGACAGCAAACACCTTCGTAATCACCATTAAACTCATCCAACTCTTTCCAAATCTTCTGCACGGTCCTCAGATTGACACCCAAACACTCTGAAATGTTCGTATTGAAACTTTCAGCGTGAATCCCAAGCAGTACAGCATGCGATTTCCAAATTTCTGGTGGACTCAATTGTGTCATGGTGCTCTTTTTCTCACAGATGGTGCCCAACTGACCCTACTATACTGTGTAGGTGACAAAATCAAAATCAAACACTGCGTGTGCAGAATTAAAAATATAAAATCGCAACAATTTACCTATCGCATCCTGTATTTTTTAGTATGTGAATGTAAGTGTATGTCAGACTGGTGGGGGGAGTAAAAAGTGTTCATTCTCGAGTGTGTGTGGGGGGGTTTGAATAGTTGTTATGAGGCCCCAGAACAAAGTACCACCTCAACACCCCCTTCTCATAGGTTTGGACTGTTATGTAATATCAGTCCTCATATATGGCAGTGGATGCTGGACAATCTCTTCACAGATGAAGAAGAGACTTGAAGCAAGAGAAACAAAGAAAAGAGTACTCAACTGTTATGTAATATCAGTCCTCCTGTATGGCAGTGAATGCTTGACAATCTCCTCACAGATGAAGAAGAGACTTGAAGCAAGAGAAACAAAGAAAAGAGTACTCAACTGTTATGTAATATCAGTCCTCCTGTATGGCAGTTTAAAATGCTGGACAATCTCCTCACAAATCAAGTAGAAACTTGAATCAACAGAAATGTGGTTCTACAGAAGGATGCTGAGAATACGATAAATGGGACATCTGATCAAATAGGAAGTTTTAAAGAAGACAGAAACAAAACAGACATTTATACTTAAGAAGGATAATTGAAATTTCTATGACACATAGTGAAGAAAGAAGGCTTGGAGAATTTAAAACTCACAGAATATAGTGAGGGTAGAAGGAGATGGGGGGAAAAGTGAGTGACTTAATAACTGGAGGGAATAGTGGAGAAACAAGCATTACAAAGTATAGGAAGTTGTGGAGAGCCGTGATCAGGCACAACAAATAAAAACATGCTAGTTGTATTGAAAACTGAGACTTTACCTGTGAGACCGGCTCCAGCAACGCCAAACAAAGACCCAATGACGGCAACCCCAGTGGTAGTAGCCAGAGCCGCAGCCCCAGTGCCACCAATGATGGCTCCAGCACCGGCAGCGACCAGTGGAGCTGCAAGACCGCCAGTCAATCCTGAAAATAAACAAGATATACTTTATTCTTTAATTGGCGTATGTTTGTTTTTAGTTACAAAATCACCTGACTAAGACCAGATCATAAAACATTCCAACCACCTGAAGAAGGCCGAAGCATACAACAGCCGAAATGTAATAAATATGGCAACAAAGATGAGGACAATAGTCCAAATAATGTAAATAGTGTAAATAATGATTTAGTAATAAAGTTTTACTAATTAATCCATAGCTGGTGGAGAAGAGCTGGATTCATCCTTAATCAGAATTTGATTAAGAAAAAATTATATTGAAATAAAGTGGGTGATAAATTCTATATTAAAGTCTCTATATAAACTGGTCCCTCACTTTGTGGCCACAGTAGTTTCTATACATTTATATTCCAGAGAAAGTAAATAAATCTAAAAGAAATTGCCTGTGTAGCTAATCAGGATTTCATCGATTGATTGATTCCTTTTCTACAGTTTATCAACAACCAAGAAATTATAAGTGGATATAAAGTGAGGGATCCATTCTAGATTACAATCAATATATAAACTGATCCCTCACTTCATGTCCACGGTGTTTTCTTGACATTTATATTCCCGAGAATGTAAATAAATCTAAAAGAGATTCCTGTTTGATTGATTCGTTCATTTTTTATGGCTTATCAACCCTTTGCAGGTTATTTAAAGCCAGAAAATATTTTGATATTCTAAGAATTTTTTTTTGAGATAATGATTTAGTAATAAAATTTTACTAATTAATCCATAGCTGGTGGAGAAGAGCTGGATTCATACCTAATCAGAATTTGATAAACAAAAAAAAAAAAATTATAAAATGGACATAAAGTGGGTGATCAAATCTATATTACAATCAATATATAAACAGATACCTCACTTTGTGGACACTAGTTTCTATAAATTTATATTCCAGAGAATGTAAATAAATCTAAAATTCCTGTTTGATTTATTTTTATGGTTTATCAATCCTTTGCAGGTTATTTACAGCCAGAAAATATTTTGGCATTCTAAGAATTTTTTTTGAGATAATAATTGTTTAGTATCACTAAAAGCCATTATTATCTCAAATAAAATTGCATACAAAGTATTTACATTTCAGCATGAAATAACCCATAGAGGTGTTGATATGCTGCTAAACAAAAACAAACAACTTAAAAAAAATATATGAAAAAAAATTTTTTTTCTAAATATTAAAAATAAAAAAACAACTTATATAAACTCACCAATAAGTGTTCCACCTCCGACGGTTGCTAAGCCAATCAATGCAAACCTTTTCAATTTAAATGGTGGATATAGTTTATCCTTTTCACTGGACCTCCTCTATTTCAAAAAAAATATATATATATATATATATATATATATATATATATATATATATATATATATATATATATTAGTAATAAATAATAAAAGTGGATCCTAGTAACATAAAATACTAGCAGTTATTTTGAGCACTATTTTGTAAAAATAAAAATATCTATAAGAACACTGGATTATATATCTTGCTGTTCTTTCTTTTTATTTATATACACACACACACATATATATATATATATATATATATATATATTTATTTCCTTTTCCTTACATTTGGTTGTAAAGTGGATTTTTTTTTTTTTTTTTTTTAAATATTATGCTTTATTTTCCATGATTTTACTACACGCGTTTCTTGTCTTGCAACCATCATCAGGTAAAGGGCGGAGATTTCCACATTAATTTTTTTTCTCCTTTATGTTTTTCAATGTTAAATATTCACGATATGAATCTCTTTTTTTGTGTTAGTAATCCAAATTTTATTCTTGAACTTGCAGTGAAGAGTTCTGTGCAAAGGGTCATAAAACAATTAAGGTTTGTCCAAGAAAAATGATGAATTAGTTATCGGTATCTTATCTTTTAATGTTTTAATGACCCCTGTGTGTTCTTAGATCTATTTCTATTTTTGTGGGTTTCTGTCAGTATACGTGTATATATGTGCATATTCGCTCTCCATATATACATACTGTCTCACTACGAGGAATTCGTAGACACATTTGTACACACACACAGTCCCAGTACAAGGAATCAGTACATATACACACACACATATGTACACACACATACTTCCTAAGTTACCTGGAACTAGTATACATATACACACACACACACACACATATAAATGTACATACATACACACGTACTTCCTTAGTTGTGTGGGGTTTGTGTGCATGCCTGTGAGTAGTTCCTTGCTTTTGTCAACATATGTATATATATATTTTCGTGCTCCACAGATACCCACATGTGAGCGTCTAACGTAATAAACCCTGTCCTGTCTCCTCAGTTGTTCTTCAAAAAAAGGAATCCACCCGATCTCCCCCAGTGAACTGAAGGAACCACCACTATATGCAAACGTTGTGAATTCTTGATACGAACAGCAGTGGATCGGTTTCCCCCAGAACGGTCCGGTGGGAATATCTAAAAATGGTTGGTTATTACGCTGAAAAAAAAAATCACTATTCATGCAAAAAAAGTTTCTTATCGGAGCCACAAAGACATGAAAAAAAATAAGCAACTCTTTCGGTTCCTGTACAAAGAGCCCTTTTTAGGCCACTGTTTTTATGTCACTACCGAAGAATTTACACAAGTACAAAAAAAAATTATTTAACTAGGTTCACTCGTTTGGGGTCGGAAGTGACAGAGAGAGAGAGTAGGAAAATTTCTGTCTAAACAATTTCAGCTGATCTAAGGGAAGTAATTCGGGGATCTTCGACGGAGCGTGTAATAATAGCAATTTGGTTTCTCAGCTTTGTTGGCAAAATTAACTGGTTTCATACAGGGTCTGTTTCTATTTCCGGTTTAAATTTTTTTATGAAGTTTTTTTCTTGTATTTGTAGGTACGAATAATTGTCTATTTGATATATTGGC